TTAACTATTCTACTGGCCAAAGAAATGTAGGAATACGTCTATTACCTACATATAGTACAAGGACCACCGCTTGCACCTCACCCACAGCCTCACCATATTGTATGTACCACATACTCAGGCTTACCGTATAGGTGGAACACCACATGCATATCAACAAGGCACTAGCATATAACAGTTCAATAGCATTTCCAAAACATCAAAAGCATGTAACACAACATGCATATAACCATATCCCCATGGGACATGGTGGAACCACAACATGGCTAAACCGAGGACACGAAAGTTTACCTTGCAAGGTAACTATCCAAGCCGAGTCCGCACAAGCTCAAGACCCACAAACAGCACAATCACAATCTGTTTATATGAGAAATATCATCAATAACCATACTTTAAATGTTCATTTCATTATGACAACATTTCCTTATTCGATTACGTCTTTTCTATTTCATAATTATCAAGCATTAAGTCCCTTAATTATAGGTATCACTGTTTCCCAATAGTAACACCAACTTCTTAGGCCATCAAGCCCAAATGGGAACTGTCCCACACACAAAACTGGTTTCTGGTCATTTTCACAGGTGGTAATCGATTACCAAGGACCTTGTAATCGATTACTGCACAAGGTAATCGATTACCACCAGCAAGGTAATCGATTACTGCACATGGTAATCGATTACCAACCAAAAGTAATCGATTACCACGCGGGCAGAACAGTTTTCTGCAGATTTTTTTTTGCATAATCCGAAGCCAAAATGCCACCCAATGACTCAAGGTTCGGTTTTGACCCAGAACAGATGTTCATTACCACTTATTAGCCTTAGATTAACAACCCTAAGCTTGAATGATTAAAGTTAACTCATTTCATAACATAAACAAGCCATTTTCATGAAAATTCAAAAGAAAGTTCAAGGTATACCAATGGAGGTTCAAACTCAGCAAAAAGAAGGCTCTTGGAGCTCTCCATCAAGGCTCAAAGATTCTAACTTTGCAAGAGCACGAAAATACACCACAAGGTTGGACCTTTACCTTCAAAGGTGGCTCCTTGAAGCCTCCAATGGCATGAACAAAGGCTCACACCAATGGGAACACCAACTCAGCCCACAAAACCCCTCACACAGCAGCCTAAACTCAGAAAATCAAGATCTTTTACTCACACAAGGCTTGTCCTCACAATACTCAACTATTTTGGTGAAAGAACCATGACCAAAGGTAATCACTTTGGTGAAATTTGTGAAGAAGAAGCTATGGAGTCGAAAAGAGAAGGTGGCAGCTGAAGGGAACTCAGAAAATCACGTAGCACAAATGTATTTCTGACCTAGGGCATTATGCCATAAGCTTATATAAGCCCACTTAAGTTAAAACAAATAGTATTAGCAAAAATAGCTATGCTTATCATTTTATTCTCAAACTTCATATTCTTAACCTAGCCATTTTTCTAGGATTTTTCATATTTTTATATTAATTTTTTGCAACACTTTTTCGGTACGCGTTTTAACACTGACAGTATTAGTTCCGACATCAAATCTCATTATTTTGACTTCAAACTTGTTTTACAAGTCCTATATATTATTCTAGAAATATTCATGCACTTATTATAATTTTAGAGATACTTTATCGGTACGCATTTATACCGACTAGCAGAATCGATATCTGTACTTTTCGTCAGAAAAGCGACTTTAAACATTATTAATCACTTTCTATATTTATTTAAGCCTCATAATAATTATTATGGTCAACTATGGAATTATTTCCTAATTTCACATAATTAATTGATTAACTTTCTTAATTAATGGTGCGGGTTCTTACAGTACCTATATAAATACTACCACTTAAGTTATCAGCCTCCAAGACTAATTAACTAAAGAGGTAAGCTCAGATATAAAAAAGTGTCTACACACTTTCCCTTCTCCCTTGAGGATAGTCTAGAAGATTTATCACAAACACGTAAGGTTTGGTCGTGCTGTGACGCGAAGAAAATCAGTTCGTGAGTTTCTGCCGTGACGTCGAGGAGATCAGTTCGTAAAGAGGAATCATACGTGAAGTGGTTTTACGTAGATCTGTGCGTCAAGAGATAAATCAAAAAAAACAATTATGATTTGTTGCATCCCAAACCCAATGATTTAAATGCTTCAGCAGATCTAATTGCGCCTACACTTATGATATGTACATTTTAATCGCACTCTTTATTTTTTAATTTTTCTTAATAAATTTTGTTTTGCAGATTTTGTATGCTTGTTTTCTGCAGAAGAAGAACATTTGGTCGAGAGGAGTTGTCCCCATCCTTTCTTATTCGTTCCTTGTACCAAGTGTTGGATGACGGCTCCATATATTTCACACCCGATGATTGCATTGCTGTTGTGATCATCTGATTGTCCTCTACCATTAGCACTTGCTTTGATGAAGCTTTTCGCACCCGGGTAATATCTTATTAGAATGAACAAATAAATATAATCTAAATAAACAAATAAATAAGAAATACGGACAATATATACATGGTGTTAACAAGCCTTTATTTCCGATCTCAACTTTAATTTGAAATTTTAATTGATGTTATTGCTGATATTTTTATGGAAAGGACACTCTAACTCTCCACTTTATTGTTTATTAATGACCATTTATACTTGCGTGGAGCAATATTTCTGTTTAGATAATTGGTAGAAGTATTAACAACAAAACACAACACTTTTGTCTATCAAAAAAAAAAAAAAACACAACACTTTTAATTTGGGCCTATGTATAAACTATGGGCCTCGAACTGAACATACCAACGGCTTGATCAAAACCTTTCTCGCTCCAAAAATCAAAGTACTAAATGAAAGTTTTTGGTAACCTTTCAGTCAGTCAAGAGCACCACACTCAACACAATCTCAAAACCAAAAATAAGAACGAAAATGCTTATTCACAAGAAAGATTTTAAATGAAAGTTGTACGAATTGATATGATTGGCTAAACGCATTTACGCGGGGTGTGTAGTAGGTTTTAAAACTACCATTTTCTATTATATCTATATGCATTCCTTTTTTTGGGCAGTCAATTTCATGAAAACTTGTTTCTACTAAATAGCATTGCTCAAATAAAAATATTAATAAACATAATCACGAAAAACAATTAATTAATACATGTGATTACATTAGGAAATTTGGGATGGTGACGTAATTTTGCGTTTTGTTGTAAAACATGCTATTTGACATGTGGTGGATGACTATTAAGGATAAAATCAGTTATGGTCTTTCATATGCCTAATGATCTTTGGTGTGCCTAATTAAAATGTAACTATTATACATGATGGTGCATTATATTATGTAGTGTAACCACTTTTTTCATTCATATTTGAAGTCCTATATAAGGACATATTGTTATTGTGAAGAAAATAATAAGAAACAAATATTATAACTACTTCATGAAGAATTATATTTTTAGAATCCATATCCAATTATCTTCCTCTCTTTCTCTATATATATTCGTCTCATTTTCTATATTTTTCTTCTTATTTCACAACACGTTTGAGTTTTTTTTGTATGATTATCTATTTAATTGTGTATGCCCAAGACCTTTGGAGTGTGGAAGGTAAACTATCCTGCATTTTAACCGCAATATTATTGTTTAAATTTTTACAACTATAAATTATGGGGCAGATTATATTTACAAATTTTTTGTTTACAAACTACACTATCTTCTCATGGGAAAACACTAGGTTTCACTATCTTCTCCCGGGAGAAGATAGTGTAATTTGTAAAAATTTGTCAAAAAAATTTGTAAACAGATCATTCCCTATAAATTATTGCTCTTAAATTTGTCTCCCAAGTTTTTTTTTTCCCCCACCCTTCAAGAGTGCTTTTGACTTGAAGTATGGATATTGTACAAACACATTTTTTAGTTTTATCTTGTGTTGAGTTAATTTCCACTTGAAAGTAAGGGGCAGTGACGATCAAACTCCTGGCCCGTTGTCACAGAAGCAATCACCTCACCTAAAAGCTTAAACTGGTAAATATAGAATTTTTAATGATTTTGTTCTGGACGAACATTAATCTGGATCTCTATCGTGGTTATCTGCCTGTTATCTTGTTCTTTGGTGTATATATAGGTACAACTTTGGAGCAGTTACCTGTATCATGGGAGTGGTGGATACCATCATGACATCGTGGTAGGCCCACTTATGACTCCAATACTGACTGACTCAACCGACTGCTAACTTCACTACGTGTAACACTCACTGACATGACCAACCGCCTATCCGGGTAAAATATATACGGGTTCCGAGTACTTTACTCTTACGAGTAAGTACACCTCGCTGTATTAACCCGGAACAGATTTCATATTATATTTCTGTAATAGCATTTAAATTACCACTTTGACGATGGTATATATTATATAAACACTTTATAGAAAACTATTACAGCATGTTCTTAAGACTGTGGAAACTAAACTTTAAAATTTATATATGTAATTGTGTGCACTTCTATATATGTAATTGTTATTGTTATTTGTTTTTACATTGTTTTAATCAATAAACTTATATATAACTATAATAAATAAATTATAATTCTGACATCTGATATGTCCGGATAGACATATCAAAGATACTTAGATATCCGAGGATGTAAAATTTGTTCAAAAATGGACATTAACCAAAGCACAAGTTAGATATTGAAGCAAATAAAACATGACAATTGTAAATTTGCCTCATCCATATGCTTTCTGAAGTAGACAAGAGATTTGAACATCAACATATAAGATTATAAAATAAAAAGATATGAACCCCTTTAATAAAAGGAAGAACACACACCAAAAAAAAAAAAAAACGAAAAGGAAAAACCAATTGTATGCCAGCCTCCTTGGCTCAGCATATTCTACTATATATTCAGTACACTATATGTGTAGCCTCTTCTTTGTGGCTGGAAAAAACAATCCCCGTGTGTGTGGTTATTGTAGCCAACACAAGTTTCTTTGTGTCGATAAATTTTGTGATGCTATAGTTTGAGTCATTTGGGTTAGTATAATCATTCTAGCATGGGAAAAGCGACAGATTTATCTTGAGAGGAACACAAAGAGATGATCTCTTCTAGTGTTCCATTCAGATAGTCCTTGCACTTGTCATATAATATGCAATCATCAGTCATTTCGGGCTTCATTGACTTTGTCTCTGGTAAATTTATTTGTGGGAAATCTTCCAGCACCAAAGGGGTGTATGGGAGTTGATAATGCATGCCACCAAAGATAGGTATTTCTATATCCTGCATCATGAGAAATATTGTTTTAATTGCCAAATGCCAATATACTAAAGTAGAGGGATAAAATGATACATTATGACAAAGAACAAGTGAAAGTGATAAGGAGTTTGTCCTTCTTAATTAGCGGTTTAAAGTTGGAGTTCTGAAAATGGAAAAAATAACCTTACAAGAGCCGCCCGAATATGAATCTGACAGTTCTTGAATCAGATTGAATAAAAAAATAAAAAAAATGATAAATATGTACAAAAAAAAAATGATACCTACAACTGTATAACTCATGCTTAATTGGAACTAAAGCACCACTTTGGGAGAAGTGCAAGTGGCAAGAAAAGAGTGGGGTTAGAGTAGAGGTTTTTAAGGTTTAAAAGGAAAAGAATAAAAGGTGTTTATCTAGATTTAAGGGAGAAAGAGGTCAATTGAAATTGTTGAAGCCCCCAATCAGATGCATATTTTGCTGGCATGAACATTGTAAAGCTAGTTGAATGCTGACAGAGGGACACAGAAACAGGTTCTCAGATAAGTAGCTTTTGCTAAATTAGGAAAATGATCCAGACACTACTGATAAAAAGAATGTGATTAAAGATAAAGATGTATCTGAGATGTTTGATTTATATATGCTTTAGTGTTTAGAACGTATCAACCCGTGAGGAAAATGGGGGGTAAAGATATCTTTACTTTGGAAAACGTTTTGAGTAGTCAGTCAAAAGAAGTTATAGGGGTTAGTGAAGAAAAGCTAAATTGGAGTCAGTCCAACTGAATTTTAGAAGTGAGCTTTGTGACAAGATAGGAACTTCATCATACTTCCAACTTTCGTCACTTTAAGATCAAAAGAGAACTCAAAGATATGCTTTGTGGGCCACACTCGTTACAACACACAAATGAATAGTAAAATTGTTTAGGCATATGCTTAATATATGCAAGAACTAGGAGTAATTTCTACACATTTTATGTATTATTTGATGTATGTTAGTAAAATTGTTTATGCATATGCTTAATGGGTCACGTTGAGGATTAATTTCTACACATTTTATGTATTATTTGAGGTGTGATAATGAAGCCTTAAATTGATAAAGTAGCAATATAAAACAAAATATAGCTGGAAATGCTGGATTGGCAAAGGAAGTCATCATGAACATAAATGCCATGGACATGGAGAAAAAGGAAAAGCTATAAGATACTAACTAGATCGGTATGATAATGATTATGCTATGGCCCATCTTGCTTTTTATATTCATGCCACGTCTACGTTACTAGTACTACCATACAAACTCAAACAATGATGAAGTTTATCAAAGAGAATATGTGAAATTTAAGTCTTTAAATGTTACCTGAAATAGATTTGAGGGGTAACCAATTCCTATTGGATAAGAATTAGCTACACTATTTGCTTCATCACAAGCAAATTGTGCTTGAAAATCGTCTGCTATACCCGTATCCGTGGGTGTACATGTTCCTTGAGTGAGATCAGAAGAAGAAGCGTCACATGGAAATTTAGGATTTTCATGATTGAGAATTTTCTCATTCACGGTTTCCATTTCTTTGGAAATCTCAGTGCCACTTGAGTCTTCACCTAATAAATGTTCTTCTGAGACCCGCATCAATTCCTTCTTTGCTTCCTCGATTTGTTCGTCTTGTTTAGGTTTGGATGGAATTTGAACAGTCTTCTTGAAAATTCGACACAATGAATAGGAATCCTGTGATGAAATGAAAATTTGTCAAAACAGTATATATCACTTAACTTTTTATGATCAAAGTGTTTTCTTTTTCTTTTCTTTTTTTTGGGTTTAAACACAGTGAATGCAAGAAAAGAGTGAGAAACAAAAAAAGCAAATTTAGAAAGAGTTTGGAAAAGGAAAAGGGTCGATGCAATATTAGGTACACGGATCTGAATTTTTCATGATGTTGTTTCGATCATATGCTGTTCTTTTTAAAGAGGAGAAACAAAAAATTAAAGTTTGCAAATCATATAAAGAAAAAGAAAATAAAGGAATATATATTGCAGCATGTGCATCCTTATAGAACAAGGTTCTAAACATACATGGAGTACTTAGCTACTGTATAGTCAAGCTAAACATAGAAAACGGGTCTGGTCTAGTGAACTTGACTCTATATATGACGACATAATAACCACAGACGCAGATAAATCTTAAAAGAAGTGTACCTAAAACCCTCCATCAGTGATAGACCAATTTGGAAAAAGACTTAATTAAAGCAAGCACTAAACGAGGATTTGGTCATTAATTGCTCTCATTTCATGGAGACTTTTGTTGCTTTTTAGGGTTTCTTCTATGTATGTATACCCATCCAATTATAATTAGGTACACTTATAAAGGTACCCAACAAAAAAAATAAAAATAAAATCTTTTCCCTACAACTGTGTACAATAACCTAACAACCATTGAAGATCTGCTATTCCTTTATTTATTATTTTTTTTCTTTTTCTCCAAAACCCTAGATTTATTCATTTCTGAACTGATTCTTATATTCATAAAGCCTCAAAAATTTTAAGCTAATACCCCAGAAACATGTTCCTTTTTAAACAAAAAACAAAGGAGTAGAAGAAAATTATGAAGATGAATGAAGACAGAAGGAAGCTACCATAAAATATATACCTTTAAAGATGAATGAGCAGCACAAGGCACAGATTCAATTAAGCGGTATTCGTGCATAACCCAGTTGGTTCTAATCCCATGTGGTGCTCTTCCTCTATAATATACCAATGTCTTCTTCATACCAAGTGGCTTCTTTTGAGAGTGGACTGGCCTATCTTTCCCTGTAGCTTTCCAATAACCAGCTCTTGTTGCTCTGTTAGTTCTTGATCCATTTGGGTACTTTCTATCTCTTGGACTATAAAAATACCACTCCATGTCTTTACTTGGGAGGAATGATTTATCTGTTTTTTTTTTTTTTTCAATTAAAAAACAATTGGATTTGGAGCCATGTTAGTTTAGTTGAATCATGAAGATAGATGATCTTATTAAAAACCAAGAAATTGCTAATATTCATATTTATATGAATCATATCATATATACATAAACGATAATATATGTATATATCATGTACCTGGTAAATCCCAAGGTTCACATTTGTATAGATCAACTTCAGCAATGATGTCAAGTTCTATTGAGCGACCAGTTATTTTTCTTTCTAAGTAGTAAGCAACAAGCTCTTCATCTGTGGGGTGGAACCTAAATCCTGGTGGGAGACTCATTGGAGCCATCAAAGTTAGAGAGAGAGAGAGAGAGGAAAATTTGGAAATGAGTGGCACAAGATATGAACTAAAACAGCTTGTAGGACATTGAACTAAATAGGCCACTGTTGAGATCAAAGCATTGTCAATTTGCCCCTGAAATTGAACTATATTACAAAGAGTTGGTTTATGTGACAACCACAAAAGAAGTAAAGGAGTTAGAGATATAGCTTAGGTTGAGTAATTATGATGAAAATTGAGGGGCTAAAGTTTCAAAGGTAGGGTCTTTGGCTTTTGAAGTGATTCTATGTGTAAGGTCTTGTGTGAAAACCTAGAGGGAGAGGATAAGAAGCTTCTCTGCTTTTGTCTGCTCACAAACTAACAAAAATCAGAGTCCCCCTCAAAAGGTAATGTGGGCCTCCAAACCGCCCATCACCTACAACACGCAATACTAGGCGTAACTCAATTAAATAATCATTGCCACATTTATTAATCGTATAATATATGCTATGCTAGTATCTTTCATCATTATACTGCTACGTATTCTAGAGATGATATATATAATATATTTCATGTGTATGTACTACTTGTTCGAGATTTACGTATAAGCATGTGTTTTGTGATGTCATGGTGTTTTCAGGTTATCATAATTAGATTCTTAGCATTCCATGCAAAGGGGAACAAAGTATAGGATCTTATACGTATTGTAACATCATCATGTGCAAGTAAGTTATTGCACCAAAGCTGCCCCTGGTTTTCTTTTATAATACAATCACGTGAAAAAAAAAATTACAATTTCGTGATATAAAAATTCGGACTACGTAGAGAAGTATGGTTTACCTTGCAATGTTTAGGCTGCAGTAATTTTTCTATTTTTCGTTTTTGGGGATGGTAGGCTGCAATCTTCTGATTTCTTGGATAATCAGAAATATGTATTTGGCATTATCATATTTTATACTGTATATGTAAGTTGAGTTAAATTTGTAAATTGGTTGTAATGAGGATATTAATTTAGGGTGGGGATTTTCCTACAAATCATGGGAAAGTGGGGTGATCCAAATTTGTTTTCAACATTTGGTTAGAAGAAACTGAAAATAATCTTAGAAATTTTTTTTCTCATCGTTCCATTTTATACATCATATTCCCAAGCGAAAATACCATATAATAAATGATATTTTTATTTTCCTATAGTATTATTATAATTAACCCAACATTTTCGAAAAAAATTTAAACCTATCAAATACCTTTTCGTAACTTATCTGGAAAAAAAAAATTCATCATATTCCCAAAAATCATTTTTATCCAGTAAAAAAACCTATCTCTTTTATCAAACGCCCATTATAACATGTAAAAGATTCTCCTGGCATGCGAAATGTGATATCATAACAGTTTTCCCGTTGTATGGACTCCACTGAAGTGTGGCGGCGTAATTAACTTCTTCACGTATGAGGATCATTCGTACATGGGAGTAAGGGATAATCAGGTGTAAAAAGAATCATTTATCATTTAGTGTGCTAGGGCGCTGGCCCGGTTTGTGTGAACACCCAGGTAGGACCATCCGGCCGGTCCAAAAAAGTAACATCTACAGAGAGGGCAGCAAAATGTACGTTTGAACCTAAACTAGCCATAGGGAACGAGGATTGGCTAACTGAACCTAACCAGGGAGTTTCAAAGTAAATTAAGGCTCTGTTTGGTTGTTGTTTTTAAAAATAGTTTTTTAGTTTTCAGAACAAAAAAACTCGTTTAGTAAGACGTGTTTTGTAAAAAATGTTTTGAAAACTATAACTGTTTTTTTGTTTTTAGAATCAAATTTAGAGAACATGTTTGAGTTGTTTTTGTTTTCTGTTTTGGTTTTTAACTTTCAAAATTAAATAAATATAGAAAACAACTGTTTCCATAACTATTTTATAAAACAGTTTTAAGAATAAAAAAATCAGAACACAATCAAACAGGCCCTAAGATACTCTCATTGCATGAGTAAGTTGTTTTAATAAGTATTGGACAGACTTCGGGTGCAAATAAGGCATTCTTGCATAGCCAGTGCTAACCTAGGCCAGTGTGTCTTGTAAGACCTAAATGAATCCCACATCTGTGTATAAAACAAATAAATGACTCAAAATTTAATCGGGTCACTTGAACTCACATAGAGTGCAAATTGTCCATTCAAGAATTACATACGAAATATGTCCAAATAAGATATAAATTAGTAATGATTTTTGCATTAATATAAGGATCTGTGCTTACACTTTGCCTTTATGGGAGAATACAACATTTAAAGATGAGAAAGGGTTACCTCTCATTATGTAAACCACACATCAATAGATGAAAAAATTATGCAAGAAACATTACTCAATTAAAAATTGTTGCTTTACTTCTTGGTGTGTGTGTGAGAGAGAGAGAGAGGAGTTTGAGTTTGAGACTGCTAGATATAATGAAATATGAGCCTAATATAATAAGGAGAAAAGATTAACTGTCTCTAAATCATTTGTATAAGTGAAGCAGATGAATTAAATTAAGATCATGTACAGAAAATTAAAGCGGCAGAGTAAAGTATCTTCAGCATGTTACAAGAAGTGACATGCTGCAACATTACTAATAATATATTTCCAAAGCTGTTATTGCAATATTCTTTCCTGAACATTCACTTATTTTAACAATGCCTACATGCTTTTAGTATAATATACGACTAGACAATATTGTATTTTAATTGGCTATGCTTTTCTACGACGCGGTGGCATACGCGGTGGTGTCTTTAATCTAATTGGATGTTGGACAAAGGGGAGATCTATCTGCTATGGTTTCTAAGATAAAAAAATATTGTTTAGAAGACTAGTAATCATCGTGTCTAATTAAGTTAATATAATTTGATCAGGACCACCACTTAAGCAACATAAACAAGTAAAAGTAAGACAACATTAACAAACGAGAGATTTGAAACAATGACTAGCTCTGGCCTCAAGAAATTCATGCCCAAAATAGTTTTGAAATATAAAAATGACTACTGCTAAATCTTGTTTTAGCTTTGAGTTCAAAGCAGTCTTTCGTTTCATTGTTTCCCTTTTTTAAATTTAGTGCATATTACTATAATCATAGCAATAAAATTTTGCATGACTTTTGAGATGTAAGATTATGATTTGTTTTTTTAATTTATATTAAAAAAAATGCTATGTTATAGATGTTTTATGAGTTTGATGTTTGTCATTTTAAATGATATAAGTTATATCATTTTAGGAAAGAGATAGACACAAGGAATGAAAATCATGGTGGAGAAAGTGAGTGTGTTTTTTTTTTTTAATTTAAATTTTAAATAAAAAATATAATTTTGAGTCTATCTCTCTTTTAAAATGACATAACTTTATGTCATTTAAAATGACCAACATGTAAAATACATACATGTATCTTCGTGAAATACATACATGTAAAATAAATAAATAAAAAGATAGCTCAAACGAAATATTATTTCTTATTATAAAAAGATTAACATCCATTTAAGTTCTCCAAAATATAGATGATGTTAAATTATTAATCTCCATTTATAAATATGTAAAATTGGCATTTCAAAAGTATACAAATATCAAATTGGGTTTTCTATGTTATATTTTGTTGTTAAATTACTGATATTAAACTTTTGAAAATAATGAAAAACATTCATTATTGTTTAAGTACCAATTTATTGTTAATAATAAATCAAAAATGAATATAATATGATATATATCTTTTGAGAACCAAAATAACCTCTTAACATTATCAGTATTGTAAAGTATACTTGATCTTAACAAAAGTCCCAGAAAGATATATATTATGATATATTGTTATTTACTTTTATTCCTTGGGGAGGGATAGCGGTCGAGATGGTGCTATCAATATGTTCGCTCTCACGATTCAGGCTAAAAATTATGTCACTTTCACGTTAATTAGAAGAATAGAGCTAAGCGTTTTTTTGTAAAATTTTCTCAAACAATGTATGTTTCTTCGTCAAATTAGATCTTAATTGTATGATTTTAATGAAGGGTACCTCGGATGTGGATTTTCTGAAGAAAAAAAATTTAATTATGTATTGCGGATAATATATTGTTATAATATTTAAAAAAAATACTTCTTATAACTATATACTAACTGTAATACATAATTATTTTTTTTATTATAATAATTTTTGCAATATAATTTTTATATTTTCTTTTAATGGATTAATTCAAATGCAGTGCAGATGAGTTTGCTGGGCCATAGAGTGGGTCCAAGAGATAATTCTCTTCCCTTTAATTTTAGCCCAAGGGGAAAAGAACCCTTTTATCATACCTCAGTACCTGACTTCAAGATGGGCCCACTGAGCATCTGAACAAATCTACCTGGCACACAGTCACTGTCTTCTTTTCTTTTTTATCATTTTTGCCCTTTATTTCTTTTTCCTGCCATCCAACCTTACTTTTTCTTTACTGTATCCTTTGTTCCTTGTTTATTGCCCTTTCGTTAAAATATCATTTTCATATGAGTAAAGACATACTAACCACTTTAATGATTACAACACAAAATCTTTGACTGGCCATCTCCCTCACACACATAGCTATAGTGCACACTAATAGCTACTTAATTGTCATACAAATTTTTTTGTTTGGTGTTGTTGAGTAATATTTAGTGAGCATCAATTGGAGTAATTGCATGGTCTTAATTTGTGTCTTGATAGTGTCTTAAGTGCTAGAAGTTGTTTGATATATCTATATGCGTCTTTATGTAAGTTACATTTATAAATCCAGAACTGGCTTAGGGTGCTTCTTGTACCCAAAATGTAAAAGAAGAACGAACTATGATTTATTTATGGTGGCAAAGTTAAAAGAGCTGAGGTCAAATCCTTTTGGCCCATAAATTTTGGCTGAGAAGTGATCACATTCAAGTAAAACGGCTATTCAACTCTAGTATAGGTTATCACCTTTTTATCTGTTTGAATCTTTGCTAAGTAGCTTTTTGGTTTTAACACTTCAAGTGTGACGTGGATTGAGTTGAGTAAAACCAATTACATTGAGAGAGTAAGAGAG